AGTCACGAACTCAGTAGGAATTGCGAGGAAGTTAAACTGATAATGAACAGTAAGGCATGAGTATTTAACCATATTATGATATTATAATAGCAACTAAATATAAATTGACTTGGGTGGTTGGTAAAAACCAACGTAACTTGGAAACTTACCTAGAATCAGAACTCGCTGGGTCCTGCTCCCTTCTTCTATGGGCCACGGTAAGACGCAACCCGCATCTGGTAAAAACTGAGGTCTTGAGTCACCAGGGGCACGAATGTTCCACCTGTGTTGACGAGGACCTGGATATTCTGCACTGCCCCCTAGAGGAGAGGTTGAGAAGAATATCAGTGACTTATAACATTGAGTGAGATAAATCTTTGCTTAGGATGAGCAGCTGGGACTGTTGATATATTACTACTTAATCACAATTACGTAGCTGCAGTTACTCCTATTTTAGTCTTGGGCTGGTTTATATACAGGGCTTTTCACATTGCACTCAGTATTCTTCAAATGAATAAGGCTATATAACATCTTGTCAAATCATATCTAAAGTCAAAATTATAACTGTCCCAAAATGATCACAGTCATTAAAAGCCGGCTGTCATGGCTTCCCATCTTGTAGTCTTGATTGGCTGAGCCATACAAATGGGAATAATGACACAAGCTCCCTTAAAGACAATCAAGGTGTCGCTGGGTCGATAATTATATTTGCAAACCTGACCGATCTCCTGTGTGATTGTTGGATCGTCTGTTTCTGAAAATTACATACATTTTCAGACACAGCTCCCCATGATTCCACCATTGGAAAAAGGGGTTTCCAGAAGCTGTTTCACGATACAACAACCACTTCCTTTGCAGCATACTGAAGCCTTTAGAGTTTTCTTAGCTCTGGACTTTTATGTCAGTGGACAAGATTGTAGACATTTGTTTTATCACTCTGTAATGTGCTTTCAATTGCAGCTGTGTGAAACTGTGCTCTATAAAGAACCTGTCCTTGCCATCCAATCAAATCTCTTGAAGTGAGTGTACTTAAGATTGTGTGTTTTATGTGAAGCATTAGAAGTACAAAACAAAGTTAAGATGGGCCCTGGGCCCTTTATGGTCCATGTTACCCTAAAGAAATTAAAATGTAAAAAGGATTTCTGAAATATTTAATAAAGTATGGTAGAGAGTTGGAACTAATAAAGGTGTGTGTCTGAGATTACCAACAAAGAATGTGATAATGCCAAAGGTGAAGTGCTTGACATGAAATATTCTGCCCCTAGGTACAGATACAGAACCTAACTTAAAATATATTGATATTTAGTGTAGGATTAATGCTTTGTGCCATAAATATACCAAATCATCATTCTTTTGGCTTAAAAAGTTGTAATTTAGTGGTGATTGGCTTGTATACTGTAACAGTCTGAATCATCACAATGAGGAAGTGATTCTTTTTTTTCTGGCAAGCTGTAGACAAAGAGAAATACTGTTCAGTTCTACCATCTCTCGCTGTTACATAGAGCGGGAACTCCATAATCCTGTTTTCCTCCAGGGGAATGAGTTTAGCCAGCGTGATCTTTCCAGTGTTTTCTTCGATTGAGAAGTAGCCGTCATTGTTTCCAAAGTCAATAGTGTATTTGATCTGCCCATTTAAGTCAGCATCTGGATCTTCTGCTTCAACCTTTGAGTTAAATCATACAAATCATAATTTTAAAAGCTCTTTTGAATACATCAAATAAAAATAACAGCAAACAGTTGTTTAGTATTTAAACTAAATTACATATCAGCAACTACATCCACTCTCGGCTTCCACAACGCAGTGACAAGCAACATGGATCTACAAAAATCGCAGAATTTTAAAACTTTTTTTTTCCAAATACGGGTAGATGTTATTACAAAGGAATATGTGAGCTGGTTGTTTTCTGGGGTGCTGTCTCCATCCAGCGCTGTCACTCGGAGGACCTCGCTGTCCACATTTACTGTCTGAAAGAAGAAAATGCTGAATGATATACACCAACACATGCAAATGAATATACATGTGCATGTTCTGTCAAGCATTGAACATCTAAATACAATATTTGTTATCACATTAACTCTTAAACTCATTCCACCCTAGTTCACAGCTTGTAGTTAGATAAACCAGTCAGAAGTTCTGTTCTTTTTCTGTCAGCTGAACATCTTAACATGTCAATAGAAGCATGTAATGCAGGTCTACAGTTCCTTTCTCATAGATATCAGTGACTTACCTCTGAGACTTCAGTGCTGTAGACCTTCTGTGAGAATACCGGACTGTGATCATTGAGGTCGTTGATTTTCAGCGTCCGAGTGTTGTGCTGCAAAAGTTAAAAACACCATTTGAAACATTTTGTTTTGTAATGTTACTGAGTATTACAACATTTACATGACTTTTACCTACCTTAATTGCGCCGTCACATATGACAGAGTAATACAAGGTGCGGCCAGACTGTAAGACATGAACAAAGCAGATTTTAGGTCTGTAGAGACGACTTAAAGGTGATGTATTCAAAGACAACAAAATCATTTTACACTAAGAAGACTTTGGAAGATACCCACTAACTCATCATCTGAACTTGCTGAAATGCATTTTTGTACAGAAAGGAAACTTTCCCCCATCACTTACATAAAATATCTTTAGAAAATATCTTTCTGTCCAGCATGTACAGGAGGAATGAGTACAACCCCAAAAAACTCATACGTACATATATTTAAGATTAATAAAAAAAGAACCTATCTTATAGATTACAACAACAGCACTTTTGTTCACAATGGGGAAACTTTGTGGTTTCAGTTAAATATTAATAAAGTAACATCTTTTTTTTTTGCAATGTCGACTTTTTCAATATTAAACCAAGACCACAATCTTTCCCTACTCTTAACCATTACACAATCATAACTATAAAAAATGTAGTTGTGATTATTGTATTGCAAGAGCAGATGTTGTGGGATAAACTAATAAAATATCATCAATTCATTTGTATTTATTATAGCCACAAATAGAAGTTATTTCCAGAACACTTTTCATATAGAACAGTGGTTCTATATGAAACTAGGGGTTGCCAAAGCTTCAAAGGGAGTCATGAGGCCTTCTTGATTTTAAGAGGTGTAAGAAAAGTAAAATACAGAAAAATACACTACTCACAGGAAATAGTCTGCTCAAAATCCATCCAAATTGCTTTCACTATTTGCGTTAATCAATTACAGTTTGTTCTGTACTGTTATTGTTACGCACTAAATATAAATGAAACTTCCTAAATTCCCATTATTAAATTTCTGATTACGTTGCTAGTGACACGCAATCGGGCAGTAGAAAGTATTTTACTGTATGCCATTATATGTTGTCTGGAGATGGGTGATGGCGCTCAGACCCGTATCGTGCGTTCTGGTCAGGGCTCTTTTAGTGGAAACAGTTGCGCTGGTGTTCAAGCGTGAGTCAGCTCAGATATCAGAGGGTGGGTGGGGAAGGATGTTAGGGAACAGTTCACATTGCTTTCTGCAGTGATCCTTCATAATCCACAGTCCTGCGCATGCATGATTGGGAGAATTTGAGAAGGACTAGATTTATAATTCATTGTTTTTTCTTCTTCACAATTTAAATCATAAATGATACGGTCTCCGATATAAAAACAATGCTTATTATACCAAGAAATGCTTATCTTTTGGCAATAGCATAGAGGAGATGTCTCTCTTAAGTACTATAATTTTACATTTTATTTTTATTAACAACCTTTTTAATGGAAAACAAAATATTGGTTCAGTTTCAGTTTAGATATGGGCAAATCTGGCATCCTTGATGATGATTTTCGCCTTAACATTCTAAAAACCTCAATTACGGGCTTTTGGAAATCTACTTAAAATAGTGACTTCGATATTGTTTTCTGGGGTTCTCAGTTGCCTATGTTAATAAGGGTTTCGACTTTTGGACCATTGCTTCTCGAGTTTTTACTCAGGATGTTGTCGCTCTTAGCTTTTATTGACATATGATTAAACACAGCAATGCTTTTCTTTCTTTTAACTCTCTGTGGAATGTCTAGCTGCTTACCCGCAGTCTCACTTGTCTGGTCATGTTTAATCATCTATAGAACTATGTTTAAATCTAGTCACTATAGTCTGGCGTGCCGCTCTCGCTTTGAATTTGTAGCTTGATCGCGTTCCTTTATGTTAGAGCCAATGTTAGCGGACGGTGTGGTTCTGCTCTTATACTCGCATTTGGATCTCTGGACTTGTGTAGATGCGTGGGTTGTGGGGCAGCTCCCTCAGCTTGTGGCGTTGATCCTGCTCAATATGCTAAGGCATGTGTGCATCTCTGCAACTGCAAAAAACTCTCCCATTATGTGAAGCTAGACTGTCGAGTAACTAAGAATTCAAGTCAGATAATTCATAAATCGACAGACTTTTTTAATGTAAATTTCATCCAATTATGAATATTATTGAGATGTCACAATGTCGTTGAGAGTATTGTAAAACATCGATCTGTCTCATGTATAATATTGATGACTTTCTTATTGGGGAGTAAGTAAAACACATTAATTTTAAGAATTTATAGATGGCGGCATGTTGGATAGGTTATATATGTTTATTGGCGTTTGTAAGTTAAATACCGTTCTTTTTATAACTAAAACTCAGCCTTACTTTTGGCATGTCGTATTAAATAACTTTATTAAAAGTGATGGCTAGGTGCTGAGTGGATTCTAATCTTATGTGCTCGCTTAGACGTGTACGTGTGCTTAGCTACATTTTGCTAAGG